CAGAAAGGTTCTTTAAAAGTATTAAAATTAAGCCCCAGCAGCTTTAAAACAACACTTCCCAAAACAAATGTAGCCATTTATAGACATGTTTGTGAGAAGCTTACCTCCAATCTTTCTCAGTGTCCCTGGTTACTGCAATAGTATTATTCTCCCCAGCCATTCATACAGAAGATCATAGTAGGGTGAGGATTTTAAAGTGGTTAACAAACAGACCCTTATGCAGAGGATTCCCCAGTATATGCATGCAAACATCACTCTGGCCTCACTGGGAGCTATGGAAAAGTATTTATCAAATACTTACCTTGTAGGTGTCTGAAATCAGGTGAAAAGATTCTTATCCTGGGGTTCCAGCTTCAGCTTCTAACTACTGTCCCCTGCATACCTTTGCTGTGTATGTTGGAGAGAATGTATCTCTACAACTGTTGGTGGATTTTCTGCAGGTTGCCTTTAAACTTCATCTTACACTAACTAAACAGATAGTACTCCCCAAATCTTTCAAGATAATTTAGATCTTTTTATATTTTAATAATTTACTAGACTCTTTGTCTAGTTCTTACCTTCTTACCATTTTCCTACTAGATCTGGGGAGATATGAATTGACACAGCATCCAGTAACCGTCAGACCATCCCCAAATACACAGGTAAGCCAGTATGCCTGGTCCTATTCAAGGATTATTTCTTTATTTATTTATATACAATTTTAGATCTACAAATTTGATTAATTGTTTTGCTGTAATACTGCTCTGGCAGCTCATTTCCTGTTGGTCATGATCTCTCACTACCAAGACTTTACAAAGTTTACAGGTTTCCAAGGTAAATTTCCCCATCTTGTTACAGCCTGATAGAGCTTTTCTTTTTCTGGAGGTGCAGTTACTTATGTACCTCTGCAGGTACTTATTCAAATACACATTATTTAGTTGTGTACACAGTATGACAGCTTTTAAAGCCCATGCTATTCTATATTAGTGACATTTTTCTGCACTCTTTTCCACTCCATCAGCAAAGTCACTTACACGTGTAAACTGTTTTCAGTAGTTGATAATATATTTATGTAGCACTAAGCCAAGAACTCATTCTTGTGCTACACCAAAGGACTACGTTGAAATCAGCAGTGATCCCCTATTTCCAAATCCATTTTCATATCTGCCAGTTATTTAGTTTATTAATCTAATTATTGCATGGAAAGTTAATTTGCCATGGATATTAATCAAACATCTTGAAGAATTTTGGCTATATTATATTAACAATCTTACCTCTACCAACCAAACTTGAAAACAGATCAAAACAGATTCAAAGTCAGTTTGACAAAATCAGTTTTCCAGAAGGCACATTATCTTTATTTCATTCTTTTTTAAGTAAGTCAGTCCCATATCAGATATTCTTTTGCTATTTATAATGAATAACCTAACTCTTTTAAATAACCGCCATAATAACAGAGTTCTTACAGTCATAACACATTCTCACCAGGAAATATATCTTGGTTTGGATGTTTACATTTTAATGATTCTTTCTGTTTTTAGCAATGATAATTACTACAATATAATATTGCTAATTTTACCTAAAAGTTGAGAATAGTCTTTACAAAGCGCAATCCTGAACTTGGAAACACACCGTCTGTCACTGACAGCAAAGAGCCATGCCATGGAGAAGGGAGAGGCTGCATAAGGAATATATATACTAATTAAATAATTTAACCTTCACTCAAATGAATCCATTAAAGCATGAGAGAGGGAGCAAGATAAGTGGCAACTTGAAATGCTAAGTAATTAGTTTTCTTTGAGTGACTGATTGAAGAATAAAACACAATAGAATTTCCACCAAAACTAATAGTTGATAAAAGCGATTCCTGAAGAAAATAATTTTTTCTTCAAAGGGTGTTCCTAGTCATTGGAGATGAGAGGGTTCCTTAGTCATGAACTTTGACTAAGATACTGGAACACTTCTGAGAAAAGGGCAGCAGGGTGTAAACACAGAGAGTAGGAAGCTGACCTTTGCCCACTGACTGAAGGATGGCATTTCTCACCACATATTGCCTTTCACTTCATCAGGCACTCATTCAAGAGCAGAAGTCACACTTTTTGAGTCACAAAAGACAACCTGTTTTCCTCTGGATTTTCTTTCAAAATCTCCAATCCAGATGTTTGCTAAAGACAAAGTTTCTTAGTTTATAGGGCTTACAGATACTACAGGAGAAAATCTAGTAGCTCTTTTGCTGCCTCTGGTATTTCTATAGGTTAAACTGCCTTCCTGGAGAGTACAGGTGCCTCTCCTTGATCAACACAGAAATTAGTCTGGATCCAGATTTTGTGTCACAAAAAGACGTCCCACCATGGGGCCTCAGACTTCAATCTCTCTTTCTTAGGCCTTTGCTACTGTTTTTCTAAAATACCAAACTAACCCTTTCTTGCTAGCTTTCCAAATCCTTGATCTCAAAGACAGTGCTCTCAACAGTAGTTTTTGGTAAAATTCTACTCAAGATATATTCCTCATTAGTGCAATGAAACACTGCCTTAAGACTTTTTATCATTTAATTGCCATGTAAACGTGCTACACCAGAACTTCTGTGCATGTAAAGAAAATATGAGATTTTTCAGAAAGGTATAATGGTCTGTCCTTTCGTGCTGTTAACCCCAAGTTCCCACATTAGACTTTATAACCCCTCAGAGATTTATAATTCCTCTATTCTTCCCAACAAATCCCTTGTCACCTTCCAGACAGCCAACAAAGGACAGATTGGTTTTGCAGTGAAGCCTCCAATAGAAAATTTACCCAATTGTAAGTCCTGCTACAGAGCAATGACAGTCAGTCATTAATGGCATGCTGGCAGCCCACAAATGGGTGAAAAGAAATAATGTCTAGAAGTCAACCTGTCTATGGGAATATAAGATAAAACACTGCTACTTAATTATGGGTAGGGCATGATTTCTTGTCTAAAACCTGAAACTTGTCTTTGAAAAATTCCTCTGGTGCCCTGATCTTCTTTGAGAACTTTTGGAGACGTTGCTTCCTGTCCGCCCTGACTTCTGCACAGGAATATTTTTAGCTTTCTCTATTTTTTTTTTTTTCTACTTCTAGTATTCCTCTCCAGTAAAACATGACTTTCCACATCTTTTTTTTCCTTGTCTCTTATTTGGTTTCTCACAATTTTTTCTCAGTCCTTCCAGTTTCCCTTTCTCACATTTCCTTCACAATTTTCCTCCATCATTCTATCTTTTCTTTACTTTTCTTTAGCCACTTCCTTCCTTTTTCTCCACTTTACCCACTTCTCTTTTCCTTGTGATTTCCAACCTATAAAGAAATTCTATCCCCACAGGCTCTTCAGCACCCTTTGACCACCTGCTAGTCTATGTAAGTGAGCTCCTCCAGCAGCTCCACCTGTCTCAGTTAACCCCCTCCAAAGGGGTTGAGAGGGACTTTGCCTTCCAGCAGGGGCGAGAGGAGGGTGAAGTGCTGCCCTGAAAGTTGAAACGGAGGGGGTCAGTTTGCCAAAGCATGGAGACTGGCAAGAAGACATGGTGCCAGCCCCATGCCACCTCATTTATGTTCCCCCAATTAAGGCAGCCTGCAGGGAAAGTAACATGCCACTGTAGTGCATTGGTGTACTGACCCCTCTGAGTGCTTGTTAGCGCTCACCATACTCAGCATTTCCTCTCACTGATTGATAGGACGATACATGTGTGTATGGCAGAGAGCAGATTCATTACAGCACATTAGCCAGACAGGCAGGCAAATGCCCACAGGGGCAGAAAAGCTGTAAGGAATAAATAAAAACTTTATTATTTTTCTTAAACTTCTTTTCCCCAGGCTACAGTAAGGTGTACTGGAGGAACAGGAGAGCAAAGGGAACCCAGAAGAGAAAGGGAGTGGCAAGAACTGGAGTGTAAGTTTATTAGCAGTCAAAGAAAGGTTTAAAATATTCATAGTTGCATTTAGAGTTTGGAAAGTAGCTGAATTTCTACTTATCTTTTTATTTTCCTTCCCACCGCTAAATGAGAAGAAAGGGTCAGTGCATCAGATACCAAGCTATTAGAACGTTCCTGATGTAACAGCTACCTGGCTGCTCCACTCACTACAATTAAGCATTCCTCAGTTTTAAAAATGAAAAACAAACTAGTATCAGCCTTTATCAACAGCTGCCACCATGTGGTCTGAAATACCACAGTTACTTCTCTTTAAAATAGAGAGAAATATGGTGGCGTCATCTGATTTGTTCAGTGATGGCTTTTAAGCATCCGTTCCGCAACTCACAGCTCACAAGAGATGGCACGGCTGATGAGCAGCCGCTCTGCACCTCTGTGCAGGCCCTGCTGAGGCTGAGGACTGGGCAGCCTCTGTGATATTGCCCCCAACACCATGGCAGCTCTACTAAACCACTTCCCCATTGCTCATCCTTGGAGCTGGGAGACCACAATCCAGGACCACACCAGGGCATCAACAGCAGTGCATGAAAAATACGTATTCCCAAATAACTGATGCTAAAAACATATCTGCCAGACACAGATTTACCAGGGGGCAGCATCCTCTCTCCCCATGTCTTGAGAAGCTACCTGCTCTGCCATGGGATGAGGGAGCAAACACAGAGCCACTGGGCCCTGTTCCCATTCACCCTGGCTGGACCTGTCTGCTGCCTGGTAATATGGCACAATGTGGACAGCAAACTCCAGAGACATTCCACTATCCAAAGGGAAGCTGGAGTGTAAGTTGTCAGTCCTAGATCATTAAAGAGTTGATCCTAAGATTAATGATTCAAGGAGCGCGTTTAGAGGCAGAAATGAGATGAGATCTAGTTGGTTAATACCCCAGCATTTGCTTGCTTAAGTAAGTCCTACATATTTTTTAGGACATATTAACTTCAATAGTTTCACTCCTCACTGCCCTTCTGAATTTCATTTTGGTGCACTTCAAAATAAGCTAATTATGTTACAATTAAGAATAGCTTCCTGCACATAAGAGAGCATTCAGAATTCTGCTTTGTAAATATCTGCTGGTAATATAGGTACCTCTGAGAATGCTGGAGCTTTGTCTGATGAAAAGTGTGTTCCCACCGGAAAAAATCCATTGAACCCAGGATACTGTGAAACTGGCATATGACACTGTGAATAATGTGCCTGGGCTTCTTGAGGGTGCTTGTCTGTCCACTCTTGATCCTGTAGCTTTCCTCTGAGCTGAAACTGTAGTCCAGTCAGTGTCTGCAGCATTGCTTAATTTCTTCCCTTTCCACTATTAGCAGAGCTGAATAAAATCACTGTAAGACACACACACACAAAACAGAAGCAGCAATTTAATTTCTTGTACAATGTACCTCTACTACTGACAAAAAAAATTAAAACCCTTAAATATAAAACCAAATTAATGTTATGGTTATAAGGCACCCATAAGGACACAATCACTAACATACTACTGGGGGGGGTGGGGGCCGGTGGGTGGAAAAGATGAGAAGAAACAGTTGGCATTCAGTTAACAATCATGTTTGGAGGTTTGTGACTGACTTTGTTATTCCAAGGGAAGCCAGGTACCAGTCTCTTGGGATTAGGTACAAAGGCGAGAAAAAAGCAGACATGTATGAATCTCAAAGGTGACTGCTGGGTTAATAAAACAGTCTGTTTTCTGTTCACCCACTCTTCCTCTCAGTGTGCAAGTACATTAAAATATGTCAAAAGAAAAGCCATTTGCTGGGGAAAAATAATTCAACTAAAAGTCAAAATTTCCAGCTGATGTGTTGCCTTGGTGTGTGCAAGTGTGCTAACAAAGTGCTAACACATCTCACTGGATGAAAGTTGGTATCCTCATTAAAGCAGAAACAAACACTTGAAAATAGGAACAACTGCCACTTAAAAAAAAAAAAAAAAAGACCACAATTGATATAAGAAACCTTCATTTTTCCACATTCTGTTTCCTACTTGCTGTATGGCAGATACAATATATATTTAAGTAACCTCTTGGAAAGTAATGAAGGTATAACTGATTCTGTATGCAGTAACCATTCCCATTTGCTGAAGGAATTGCATTGCTAACAACCATCTACATTATCTTTGTATGTTTAGAAGAAGAAATATTTTCACAGTCCAGTTTATAAACTGCCTCAGTTTTAAAAATGAAAAACAAACTAGTATCAGCCTTTATCAGGATGGGCTCCTGCAAAGAGTAACCTTTTCATAAATGAATAACTCTGGGTAAGAAAACTTTATATCAAAATTACTCACGCTAGGAAGGGTTTGTGGGATCAGCCTCCAACCCTTTAAAATAAAAGCACATATTATACTGGTGTACATTGCCTTTGCCCACAGGGAGGCTTTAACATCATCACTAATTCACTGCAGTGTGAGCATTTTTTCTAATATGAATAGCATGGGACATTAGATCTCCTGCTCCTTAGCCCAGGCCCTGGCAGAAAGCACTATCAGATAAACAGAAAGCAAAACAAGGGAAGTGGCACACCACAGTGTGAGCCATCTTCTGTTTACCAATGACATGTTTTTCTCTGGGCAAAAAAATAAAAAATAAAAAATAGAGGAGTAAGAAGGTTTCCAATATTTCTAGTGACCACAGCAGGGTATATTACAATGAACTGTCTGAACCATAGAATCCCATAAAGGGTGAGGTTGGAAAGGACCTCTGGGGATCATCTAGTCCAACTGCTCTTCTTCTCAAAGCACGGTCAGCCACAGTATGTTGCTCAGGGCCATATTGGTTTTAGGTATCTCCAAGGACAGAGACTCCACAACCTCCTCAAACAATCTATTCCAGTATTTGACCACCCTCACAGTAAAAAAAAGGTTTTTCTTATGGTGAAATTGAAGTTTCCCTCATTTCAGTTTGTGCCTATTGCTTCTTGGCCCACCATTGGTCATGACTCAGAAGAGCCTGGCTGCATCTTTTTTACTTGCCCCCATTAGGTTTTTATACACATGAAGAAGAACCTCCTGAGCCTTCTCTTCTCCAGGCTGAACAATCCCAGCTCTCTCACCCTCTCCACGTAACTCACGTGCTCCTTCAGCATCTTTGTGGCCCTTTGCTGGCCTCACTCCAGTATATGCATGTCCCTCTCATACCAGGCAGCCCAAGACTGGACCCAGCACTTGGGCTGTAGGTCCCCAGTGCTGCGAGGGGAAGGATCACACTCTTAACTTGTCAGTGACAGAACGCTGTTCCTGATGCACCCAAAGAGAGGCTGTTGGATTTCTTTGTTGAAAGGGTGCATTGCTGGCTAATGGTCCACTAGGATACCCAAGGCCTTCTTTGCAAAGCTGTTTCCCAGATGCTCAGCCCCAGCCTGTATTAGTGCATGAAGTTATTCCTCCCCAGGTGCAGGACTTGGCATTTCCATTTGTCGAATTTCTTGAGATTCTTGTCACCCCATTTCTGCAGATTGTCTCCCTGAAGAGCATCACAATCATCCAGTATAGAAAACAGTCCTCCTGATTCTGTTGTCTGCAAACTTGCACTTTGCCCCATCATCTAGGTTATGAATGTAGATTTTAAGCAATATTGGGCCCAGTATTGACCCCTGAGGGACACCACTAGTTACTGGTCTCCAGATAGTCTTTATAATGTTGATCACAATACTTGGAGCTCAGCAGTTCAGCCAGTTTTCAGTTTACTTCACTATCTACTGTCTAGTCAGTAAATTGTCATTTTGTCCATGATGATGCTGTAGGAGATAGCTTAAAGTTAGGATAAACAGCATCCACTGCTCTCCGCTTGTCTACCAAGCTCATCATCTTCTTGTAGAAGCCTGGTTGTTCAAGCATGGTTTTGCTTTTTCCTTAGTCTGAATTTTGCTGTTGATCTACCTGTAGAAACCCTTCATGATGCCATTCATGTCCCTCTCCAGATTTAATACAAAAAACAAAACAAAACAAAACACAGCACAACCACCCCACCCCCCCCAAAAAACCAAACCAAACCAAAACAAAAACAAAAACCAATATCCTTTAGCCCTGAACTGCTCAGGCAGTTGCTAGATGATTGCTGTGGGTACCTTCCAACTGAATTTATTCTATTCTATTCTATTCTATTCTATTCTATTCTATGCTATGCTATGCTATGCTATGCTATGCTATGCTATGCTATGCTATGCTATGCTATGCTATGCTATGCTATGCTATGCTATGCTATGCTATGCTATGCTATGCTATGCTATGCTATGCTATGCTATGCTATGCTATGCTATGCTATGCTATGCTATGCTATGCTATGCTATGCTATGCTATGCTATGCTATGCTATGCTATGCTATGCTATGCTATGCTATGCTATGCTATGCTATGCTATGCTATGCTATGCTATGCTATGCTATGCTATGCTATGCTATGCTATGCTATGCTATGCTATGCTATGCTATGCTATGCTATGCTATGCTATGCTATGCTATGCTATGCTATGCTATGCTATGCTATGCTATGCTATGCTATGCTATGCTATGCTATGCTATGCTATGCTATGCTATGCTATGCTATGCTATGCTATGCTATGCTATGCTATGCTATGCTATGCTATGCTATGCTATGCTATGCTATGCTATGCTATGCTATGCTATGCTATGCTATGCTATGCTATGCTATGCTATGCTATGCTATGCTATGCTATGCTATGCTATGCTATGCTATGCTATGCTATGCTATGCTATGCTATGCTATGCTATGCTATGCTATGCTATGCTATGCTATGCTATGCTATGCTATGCTATGCTATGCTATGCTATGCTATGCTATGCTATGCTATGCTATGCTATGCTATGCTATGCTATGCTATGCTATGCTATGCTATGCTATGCTATGCTATGCTATGCTATGCTATGCTATGCTATGCTATGCTATGCTATGCTATGCTATGCTATGCTATGCTATGCTATGCTATGCTGTTCTATTCTATTCTATTCTATTCTACTCTAGTGGATTTTGTTAATTTAGCCAATGTTTCAATGTATCTCAACAGGACCTTTTAAAATGTGTATTATGTTTCTGACGCTTAGAATTCCTTCCTCTGTTATGCAAATACCTGCTTAGGGTCTTTTAAAAATGCATTTTATGAACCTGTTAAACTATAGTAGCCATTAAGTAGCTGTTATGAGCTAAGATGTCAACACATATCCAAGAATAAAACAAAAAAATTTAAAATGTTACATAAAACATTTTTGGTATGCCAGAAACAACAGCGGAGAAGTAGATTTTTCCTTTTGATCAAGGTTTTTTCAGTGTATTTCTTACTCACTAATATGCACTAAAGAAGGGATAGCTGTAATTTAATAAAAATGTAAGTTTTAACATTGCAACATCCCCTATTCTTTTTGCTTACAAAACAAACATATCTTCTAAAACTTATGCCAGTAATGTTTACCCCTGCAAATCTGCATAGAGCACTGCTTGTGTGTCCAGAATAAATGTCAGGACAAGGATCCGGTTTTGTTCTTTCGGAGCATCTTCAACTGAGGCTCTAATGTAAATACATCATGAAAACTACAGAACTGCTTCTCTCGGCAGCCTCTTCTAATAGGTACAAGCAAGAGGGAAAGCTGAGGAACAGTTTATCTAACTCATCTGTGCTGATTCAAAAACAAAGAATAGAAATGTGCTATATCTGCTCTAATGTTGCTCCTTAGACACAAATAGTAAATGTTTAGTCATTTGTGCATAGCCTTTTATCCATTGTGCCGGGATTAATTACCTGCTTTGCAGTTATGTGCATAGTCAGCTGCATACTAAAGTTCAGCAAAAACCAAAGTTTTCCCATGTTTCTAGAGGGTCACCTTGTTCTTGTGTCTGAGTACCAGGCTGCCTCAATGATGGGACTAGCTAGTGTTGCTTCCTAGCTGTTCTGCAGTGTCAGTGGTTTCTCTTCCTTCCCTCACTGACCCTCTCTCCTGTTTTGACCAAACTACACCAACATGAATATCTGCAAAGTTCTGAAATATGAAAACTGAGAAAATGGCTGTAACTGACCCTTCCTGGTCACTGCAGTCTTACCATGCCTATTTGGCAGTCATACCTGCATACTAAGAACCTAATCTTGCACTCCTTTTGCAAGGAAAATTCCCCATTGACTGCTACGTCTTTGTATTAAAAAAAAAAAAAAAATTACTGGATATGCAGAGCAACAGTTCTGAACAAAGGAATTTAGTCATTTTTCTTTTAGTTTTCCCCTTCAAAAATGCCCTAAGGCAGTTATCCATTTCAGTCAACAGAAGACTAAAAATGTTC